TAATCAGGCCATTGCAAGTAAACTCAGAATATGTTGTCACCCATTATGAAGTTTAAAGCCAATCATCTGGTTAATCCCAGAGAATTTTGGATATAGATGGAAGGTGACTGAGGTAATGAGAAAATACCACAATGAACATGGGATAGTGACCATTCCTGGGACTGAGAAGGCAAGGTAAATTCTAGCAGCTTTAATAAGGAAGAACATTTCGGGGCAAATGATCAGACTGCTATAAGATAGACCAAAATGAAAAAATTGTGTCTAAATTCTCTACTGAGAGACACCTTGTCTGAAGTTCTTATCTCATTTTAACTAAAAACATAGATTGAGCAAGTCATATGCTGTTGTTTTGCTGACAGAAAGATATCACAATGTCATGAGAAAGACCTGGCTGAAATTCCTTCCTCATACTCTGTTTTCCAGTTACGCAATCACTACACATCAAGTGGGTCATGCATGTTCCAGTGATAGTTACCTTTGCAATCTGTTTTTGGGCAATTGTCTCTAGCTAGAACTCAGAGATCCACTACTGAAGGTTGAGGACATTACAGACTTAGCTCTTTGTGGTTCTTATTAAAAAAAAAAGGAAAAATAGCAAGTTTATCAGAAAAGACAAATTTGCTCTCTAACTTTGGTAAAGATACTATGTTCTTCTTTTCACATACATCTGGTTGGTCACTAGAAGATCTCACTGACAGTGCAAAAATATGAAGCACAACAATTACTGATCAGATTAGATGGCATTTGAAGATTTCTAGAAGAGTTTATAAATTAAATTTGGCAAATAACATATAAGCAATGGTTAATGACAACAATGTAGCTACACAAAAACAAAGTATAACATATAAAGAGTATGAACAGAATGTATGAGGTGATATAATCAAGCAGCATGAATTTACTTGCACGAAAAGTGAATAGAAATGGAATTTATTAAGTGAAATGGGCATGAGTTAGCATATGTAGGAGTAACTGATGGCCCTTTCCAAGAGTCAGGAACGATTTTTTTTAATTGGATCATGCTTCTCCACTGCCAAATTGGATGTTTTCTTCGCCCTCCTCAAGCACTAAAGGTTTTAAATAAGTTTTAAAATGTTTTATTAAACATTTTAAATGTAAATGTAAAATGGAGATAGCAAAGTAATCAACTAAAAACTAGTGACACAAAAGGTCTCTGACTTGAATCCGTCCCTAGAAAGCTTTGCAATGCTTTACCCCTGCCAAAGGAGATGCAGGGTAACAGTTTCCAAGGCACTAAAGAGATCATGTTTTTGTGTACTTGCTGACTTTGCATTTCTCCACTTATGGCCATCAGGAGTATTGTTTTCCTTCTCTCTCTCCTCTCAGACCAATACATTACTCTTAACACCATGTTAAGATGGATCCTGCAATGCACGAGGGGTGCTTTTTATCAGGAGGCTGCTCTGGTAGAATTACACGTATGGAATAAAGTATGTACTAGACAGATTGTGTTAGTGTGTGACAGTAAACAGAAGCATTGAACAGTAGAACCAGATCTGTGTATCAAAGATCTAAAGAGTTTTTGTCTGATTTTTAAAAGTAGTTTACCACTTACAGACCTAAATCATTCATATTGTTCACCATCAATGGTAAATGTTAACATCAAGCTAAACAGACTTGTAGAAGCAATATAACTTTTAAGAGTTTAAAATGTTTCACTTAATTATCTGTTTGTTTGCTTTTTCTTTTGTTCATAGAGCAACAGCCTGCACTGGGAAGAGGAATATAGGAAGCATCTAACTCTGACATACACCTCACACAGTTACAAAAGATCTATAATTCTTCCCACTTTGATAGAAGATTTCAAGAAAGGAGCTCAAATATTTACTCCAGAAACAAACAAACAAAAACCCTAAACAATTCCTACTGCACTGCTTGAAAATGTGTAAATACTAAATATCAATTATTAATGATGTAATGGGCATGCAAAGATATTACATTACAGCTATTAAATCAGTGAAGATCTTTGTCATGGTGCTTCAAGTTTTTTGCGGTCTAGGTACAAAATATCTATCTCATCTTCTAAACAAAATGATTATCTCCTTCCTTATCACTGGTGGGAATACTCATATAATCATATATGCATATCTAATCATATATATATGATAATCATATATATATATACATATATCACGTTCTCTTAAGCATTATGGGATATTTATGCCCTATCACAGTCATCTTCTTCAGTTATGGTCTTCAGGCTTTGTTCAAATCAAAATCTTTGATTTTAAGAGGCACTGAAGTAATCTGGGGCCTGGGATAGTTTGATCTTAACAAAAGTTTTCATCAATATCTTTAGCTTTCTGCCCATGAATGAATCAACTTGTTTTCTTGTAGATCAATCGCTGTGTTGAGTAGCCCCTGAATTCTTCATAGCCAAAAAGTTTTCTGGCATGAGCCTCGTCCTGGGGTCTAAACTGGGTTGGAACCGACAGCAAAGGGATTCTCAGCTCTCATGCTGCTGCCCTCTACCTGAAGCTTTCAGACATCCATGCTGGCCCAGATGTGTAGCATGGTAGTCAACATGATGCATAGAGAATTAGAAGCCATTTCTGAGTGTTTAGGCTTGAACTTTTACTTTCATTTGTGCACCTGTAAAACCTTGGTAATGGTAATTTACCTTAGAGGGCAATTCATATATTTTTTTTTCACTCTCCTCTAATTACACCTTTGTGGAAACTTCGTATTCTGAAATAGACCATTAAATAAACAAAATACTTTTTAAAAAAGAATAAAAACTGCAAAAATGAATGCAAAAGAAGTCTCTATTAAGCTGGATTATTTCCAATGCATTGAGCAAGAGAGAAATAATTCACACAGACTCCTCGGCTCAGAAAAAAATTATTCCTTCCTCACAGCTCCCATGTCACCAGTCAATCTCTCTGCCCCAGATTACCTATTTCACAACCCCTACCCTGGTGAGTTTGTTACAATTTGCATACAAAAATTCTACATGTGCCTCATATTTTTGGTTTATAAGGATCATGCTTTGCAATTTTTTTTTCAAGTTGCGGTAATTAGATCTGGACCTCAAGCCAGACAGCAGATGTTGGGCTTTCCTCACAGAAGGCAGCTGCCAGTGACCCAGAGGATCCCCTCTCATAAATCAGATGCTGCTTCTGCATCCTTTCAGAGTCTGTTATATGAGAATAAGCTACAGCACAATTTAAGGTCATGTAAGTTTAGGATAGATCTGACTGGGAATCTCCTCACAGTGAATAAATGCTGTATTTTGGGAGGTGAAGGAAGCAAAAGGATTTTTTTTTTTAAATGGATGGTGAAACCCAAAAAGAACTATGTTGATAACTCACATACTAGTATTTGTAATGTTATCTCAGGGACAGATTTGGAATGGGACCCAGATATTTGACTTCCAAATCTCTTTACTAGCTTATTATATTATAATGATACTCTGCAAGGTGCTATTTATGGCTGGTTCAGGTCATGTTATCTGCAGGCCTCATGAGAAAAATTACACACTAACACATATGGATTTGATAACATCTACTAGGCCAATCAACAGGTGTTTGGTACAATATGAAAATGCTCAGTGAAGCCTGAGACCACGTTAGCTGCAGATTTGAGCAGCTTTCTAACAGCCCTACCGGCCCCGAGTAAGCCTAGTTCTGTACATGCCTCCCTGCCACAGATTAGTCAGACCAGCATGAGGGAAGTGTATACGTGGCTCAGTGCAACATAAGGTACCAAACGTGAACAGTTAACAAAGGAATTTTGAAGACAGGAGTGGGCACGAGCTGGCTTCAACCCACATACCATCCCCCAGCAACTGGGGACACCCAGCATCGTGATGGTGAAAAACTGCGGTCAACTGCTTGAGCGTTTTACTTTTATTAATGCTTCAACCTCTCCCACAGAGATTCTCATCTTCCACTTAAAAAAAGTTTCTGCCCTTTATGGTTCTGAAGAAAAGCTGAAAACATGGCTCCAATATAAGCTAATGGGTCAGGAAAAAAAAAAAAAGGCCAAAGAAAAACTTCCAGTTGTTTTATTTTGCAATAAATAAATCATGATCTTTAAACTAATCTCAAAGGGTTTATGGTAGCCTGACTCAAGGCTTTTGAATGACTCCAGTTAGAAGTACTTAAGTAAGATAACCAACAAGCAGGCTCCCTAAACAAAAATAAACAAAGCCCTCTTCATAGCTATTCTGGAGGACATTAACTCCTTTCCTTGCTAACTACATCTCTCACTGCTATCAACACAGAAATCAATGACAGCCTTCAGCTATCCCTCTTTCCAGAAGGCCAATAGGTCCATTCTAAAACAAACTTTTGAGCCAAATGTAATCTCCATATACGGTATTACAAGCCTTCAAGTTCTTCAAACTTTCCTTGCAAATAAGAAAAAGGATGTTAGACACTGAAAAACTGCTTGTGGACTTCCTCAGAGTCATTACAAATGATTTAAGCTAACACAACTAACCGAGAACAAGATTGCTTCCCTGCCCTGTGTACTGCTGGTTTAAAATTGTTCCCAACACTTTCATTCAGGGCATCACATGCAAAGAAGAAAATGCACTTTTAATGAAAAAGGAGGGGAGCCTCCTCCAAAATCCACACAAATGGCCACTCGCCATTTCTATCAAGTATTTGTAACACTCACAATGAACCATGATTTCATAGTTGTTTAAAGCCTCCATAAATAGACTCAAAGAGACTATATTTTAATTTACTAGCTCGAAATCTTGAAAAATCATGAATCTCCTACTTCCATTGCTTACAAAGTTCGAATGATCAAATACCATCCATCATGGAACTTCCATATCCCCTCAGCGTTGGTTTGGTCATCTCTTGATTACTATCATGTCTATCATGAAGCTGCACGTAAGTGAATGTACCTTCTCCACACACCAAAAAAAATCTGCATCACATCGCATCATTAAAATCATTATATGGAAAGATTACCCTGGCCTCTTGCCATGGCACATACAGGCATAGAAGAAAAACAGTGCTGTTACTTACTAGGAACTCCAGACACCAGCCGTAAGGGACGTAATACTCGGAAAGCCCGCAGCGCTTTAACATCGAATCCGGCACCTTTTCCTCCTATTGAATTCCCCCCATCTGCTTTGGTTGCTTGTTCTAAAATTGCACTAAAAAGCCTGTAAAAAGAAAGAGGAAACAAGCTGTAGGCAGACAGCAAGGCTTGGGCTAAACAGGAACAGAGATCATCGTCATCGTATCACCCAAACTATCTCACAGACCTGTGAAGAGTGCCACACATCTCACTCGGCTTTCACATATGGTGGAGGAAAGAGACAGACTTGTCCCATATGCAATAGCCTAATGGTGATGTCTACAGCATTTGCAAAGCACTTGTTTCTGGAGCAGGCATAAACGTGATACACTGCTCCTTCAGCCTCGTGGCTCCTTGCTGCCAGCTTGCAGATGGCCCCCCCGTGTCTTGTGAAGAGGTGTGCACCCGCCCCACGCGTGGCACGTGCTGGGCACCGGGGGCTTCAGATTGGGCATCCCGGTGGTGCCTGGGGCCAAGCACAGCTTGTGGGTTTGGCTTGGAAGGCACCTCCAGGCTGCCCTTAACAGATAGTCTGCACATGCCAACCGGGAGCTGAGAGGGAAGGAAAGCAACCCCGAAATCTAGATTTTGCCCTTTGTGCTGTCATTGTTTTGCTGTCTTTATAAACCAACAATGCATCTTAGGGGAAAAAATGTATTTTTTAATTAAATCAATCATTAATTATTTGTCACACATTTTACAGGGAATTAAGATTCACCGAGGTCACTGTAGGTAGAAGTGAATGTAAAACTCAGGGATCCGTCAAACTGCAAATTTTCAGATAAAAGAGTATGCTCAGACTACGTGCTTGCATATCCCACTGTTAATCTCCTGAGGCAGTGGCTAGGGAAGTGCAAAACTGTAGGAGTCTAATGTTTTATTACAACAGCCTGAATGTTTTATCAAGGCTAAAAGGAGTTGCTCCTTTAAGGAGAAGGTGACTTACTCAGAATACATTTGAAAAGGCAGAGCAGAGTAGGAAATATATTGCTCCTTTAAGAAACAGTTGAAGGCTTGCTCTATGTGTTAATAAGAACTTGATTTAATAAATTAGCTTTCAGGAAGCAGCTACCATTTTTCTGGTAAAACATTAGTACCTTTGGGGGAGGACGGATTCCTCAGGAATTTGCTAATGACTTTGCTTTCAGGCTTGAAGTCATCAGCTTGAACCCATCCAAATGCAGCAGAGGTTAAAAGCTGCTCCAGTCTAAATGGGTATTTGGCACTCTGTAGAAAAAGCTTGTCTGCAAGAGGCAGAATACCCTGTGGCCCACAGCATGCCACAGAGGTGCCAGAGGTACCTTTAAACTAGCTAGAAAGATGCAAGAAATATTGTCATTAGAGCAGCCTGGATTCAGCAGTGGCTAATTTATGTCACAGACACCACAGTCTGTAGTTCCTTTTTCAGGATCTCATCTATATGTTCTAACCAGAAAACTACACAGAGAGCCCCAAAATCGCACATAGAGCAGGGCCTGAGCTATCCAACTGCAGGAAGTCCCAATCCCTGCAGTCCATGGTTAAAACTTACTGATAACACCACGAATATAGGAAGCTTGCCCTGGACAGAGAAAGGAGGATTCATTTACCAAGCATCTAAGTCAACATATTTCCTCAGCCCTAAATCCACACAAAAATGCGAATTACTGGAGTGCAAATGTGAAATTAGTTTCTCAAGCAGATTTTAAAAATTTCATGCAGAGAGTCTTATAAAACTTGTCGGCTGTGACTGAGGAACTCCTAACTGGATCTACTCAATGCGTTAACTCCAAGCACTGCAGAAAGATTTAACAACTAGGTAACTAGCATGGGAAAAACTGTGTGTGGGGAGACTGGATGCTGAGTTTGTAGGTGTTGCAGACTGAGAAGCAGGATGCAGAGAAGACAAAAAGAGAGCCTATGAGAAATACTGAGGCTGCTACAGATATCACAAGCAGAGATAAACGAGGGCCCATGCAAGGAACATGAATTATTGGAATATACGTACTTTTTGAACTTCATACACAAATTACACAGCATTGCAATTTTCTGCTGCTCTTTGTAACAGAAACACTGTAGGTCAAATTTGGTCTAATGTATTTCCAGTAAGCTAGTGATTAAGCTCTATAAATGTGTTCCGTTTCTTATTCAAACATTGCTGTCTTCCTAGTCAACAGAATTCCCATGCTAGATTATGAGTGGCATATCTACACAGCAGTCCCACTCTCCTGGGACCCTCTGGAGAAAATAGAATTCACTGCAAAAAGTTCCTCATGCTCTTTCTAAGCCCTCCCTTGCAATACTGAAGACAAGCAGTCTTAGATAAAGAACTCTGAGTCAGTGACTGTGCACAAATGAGGGTTTTCTCTCCTGGTCCCAATAGCACTGCACCCAAGTTTTGTTAACAAACAGGAGTCTTTGGCAACTGCTACTAAGGGCATTTTCTCCTGCCACTCAACGCAAGAGGCAAGCCATGCTCTTGCTATAGAAATCTGCATTGTAAGATTCAGTTAGGTCAATCTGGGGGAAGCAGAAACACCAGTAAGTCAACTTAGTCCCATGGAGCTGCAACCTACCTTCCCAGACCAGCGCAGCCTTACTCTAGGCCAACCAACCCTGCCCACAAGCTCCACAGGTGACGCGTTGAATGTGCTGACTCGAGGTTCCCAAAGCCATATAACTGCTGCACCTCAGAAGGAATTTGCAATCATACCTGCAACTCCTCATTTAAAAAATATTTAAACGTGAATTCCATTACTCTTGCTAATCCTGCCTTAACTCCAAGCTCCCTCTGTACTAATTCTGCTTTCCACCAATGAAACACAACTTTGTATCTCTCTGATTTCTCTCCCTTCCCCTTCTACAGTAGAGTATAAACCTGGCCTACTGAATCTCTACTCCATCCTTCAAACTTAGTGGAGCTCCTGTCACACCACATTGTGTCCATAGCCTCCTGAGTTAGGGCATGAACAGACTTCTGTGACTTAGAGGGTACAACCACCATGTGCTCATTTGGCCATAACTTCATCATAACCCAGAGGGAAAAGGAAAGTCCTGTTCATAAGAGCACAGATGATTAGATGCAGAGGAAATGTAAGGCTTCAGACTCCCTCTCCCATTATACTCTTCTTGCGAAAACCCCCAACCTATCTACAATTTGTAGCCTCTGTGAACTCTGTAGAGTCCTTTTACTTTGTCAGATAACCGGTCTCCAACTCTAAGAGAGATACATAGATGTTTACTGCTCATATAAAACTTCAGGATAGAATCCTTCTACTCTCTCTTCATAAGGGAAGCTCAGCTCTTTGATGAAAACCTTCGGGAGAAGCCCGCAGTAGGCCTGGTGAAGTGAGGTGCTGTTCTTTCCTTCCCTTCTCTTTAGGTGAGTTAGATGAAATGTATGCTCCAAGCACGATGTGAGAGAACACTGTGCTGCCAGAGAAATCAAAGTTGGGATGATGTAAAAATTCAAAAGAGCTAATCTCTTGTGGCCACTGAAATTCTCACCAACTCTTTTTTAAAAGGATATGAAAATCAATCCTATTTTCTTCTAGCCAACTACTTTCTGACAACCTAAATTCATGTCCCATTTTTAACTGGATACAGCAATTTCCACTGACGAGGCACAAATAACAATTAGCTTGAATCTTGAATTTCACCTGTGACACGATTATACCTAAATTAATTTAACAGAGATGAACTATAAATTTTGTAATATACATATGCATGAATGGACCAACTCCACTTTTTCTTTTTAACATTTACCTGTGATGTATAAGGCTAGCTTCACTGTTTGCCTACATTTTCTGCTTCCTTTTTGACATCTGAAATATCAAAAAGATTTTCTCTTTGCTAGATGACCCCAACAGCAGCATGACAGAAGTGAAATCTGCTTTCCAGCCCTTCATCTCTTCCTCTGCGGGGAAGGGCATGCTGATTTTTATAGCATAAAAAAGAACTTGTCAAGGACCTCCAGAAAACAGAGGAAATAGAGTGTTTGGAATTTTAAGGCCAAAAATCAGCAGAAAAAAAAAACACAGCTGAAAGAATCCTTATAGGTGCAAAGGAAAAGTAGAGTACATGACTTTTTCACCATATTTTACAGTTCACCTGCGACTTGCCAGTGTGGAACTGTTTGGGTCTATCCTTTGGAAATTCCCCATAGGCCTCCACAAAGACATATCCTGTGACCACATTTTCACATCTATTCTGAATTAGCCTTTTCAAACAGATTCACTGCTTACCTTACCAAGTAAGACCATCTTTCAAATTATGACACTTTTTTTGTTCTTTTGGCAGCAGCTATGGGTCCTTGGAGAATGGCTGTGGTTGGCGCACAAACCACAGCACTGCCAGGAAAGACAGATATTCTTCTAGCACAACAGTTTCAAGTTTGCTTTCTCTCAGGAGAGATTTCTTCCAAAAGCCTAATGTTAAAGGACATCACCGTTGTATCTGGAAGTTTATGTTTTACAAGAGAGGAACGGTAAGACTGGAGGAAGTAGGAAACAATTTGACTAGTGGTTAATGTTTGTGGGCTGTACCGCACTAGGCAGCTTAGGGGCATGATCTCTACTCTTAACTAATAATGTTCTTATCCACAGAGCTTCTGATTGATACCCACACAGAAAAATTTCTTTAAAGCAGTACTTAATGGTGCTGCTATAACAGGGTCATAGGCTATTTAAAGATAAGCTAGAATCAAGTCTAAAGGACTTAGCTGATGAATAAGCAGATCTCCCACACTGCAAGAATGATAAGCTGCTATAAGCCTACAGGTCTGAAGTGCATCCTTTCTTCAGGAAATATAACAGTTATTTTCAATACTCCCCTCTCCTGCTGTGTATTCATGTGGCCATGTTAGAAACGTGGACTCTAGCACTTCTTTAGACAGCAAGGAGACATGTCTTCAGAAAGTACAGAAAAGCATACAAGCAAATAGTCATTTTAATAAAAACTGAGATTGCTTTCTAAAATTTATGCTAGCTCCTACATGTTTCCATCTTCCTTATCCTCTGTTGGCTTGTATGTTTTCATGTAAAGGAAGTCAGCTTCTCTGTATCCCGTCTTCAAAGTAATAATGCTGAGCTGTGTGCACTAGGTAAACAAAGAACCTGTCCTGTTTTTGCTTCCTTAACTTCCAACAGCAGTTGAAGTACTCTCACCTGACCTTTATATATATATATATTGTATTTTTGTAGCAAAGGCAATCATCACTGAAAATGAAGACGATTCCTAAGACAGAATAAGCATGAGTGGCAGTTATCAGGGTCATTTCAAGTCTTGATGCTTCCAGTGTTAGCTTCTCATCATCCTTTATTTCCCCCAAAAGTAAACCCCTTTGCCTGGCACTACAGCTATGTTCAAGTAAGTCAGCTTTTTCCAATAGCTCTGGCTATTGGGGCAGGAAAAAGGCAGCAAGGAAATTTCATTACAAGCCGCTTTTTTTCTGTACCTGCTCTGTTCCTTCTTTCTCTCTCTTTTCCTATTTTATTTTATTTTATTTTATTTTAACCTTTACCATGGGACTTCTTCCCTAACAAAATATCCAGCAACGACAGAATTTAAGCATAATATCATTGAAGGTTTTCTGAGTGGAAAAGACAGGGCAGAACAAACAAACGATAGCAGCACCTAAATTTTGCAGAGGGTTTGTGAAGAGAAAAAAAATAGTACAGCAGTCTGGGCTGTGGTAGTGTACAAGTGAGCTTGAACTGATAAACATCAAAGAAACCCATCTGGCCTTGAAGTGAAATCTGTGGCTTGAGATTGCCGCTCTTTAATAAGAGACCTTGGGGTCTTGGCCATGTTTATTATACTTGTGCAATCCCTCTCGAGTTACATTTTTTTCTTTCCCCTTCTACAGACTGAGAGCTGCTGGAGGCAAGCGCAGACAGAACAGCTTAGAGCTGCTCTTATTGGCAAGGGAATTAATTTCAGCCTGAATATCATCCTGCTGATTAACTGCCCTAGTAGGAAAATTGAAAAGGGCTGTACTTGAAGTGCAGCTGCCCTCTGATTTCTGGAGCCCTGCTCTTCTACATTCCAGTGGAAAAAAAAAGAGACAACATGTTTTAAAAGTCTCTTTCTTATATAAACGGTAAGGGAACAATCACATTGACAGACCTTTGTTTCTCCAACATTTCCAACATGTTTTAAAAGTCTCTTTCTTATTGACACATCTTTGTTTCTCCAACATTTATTTACTTTCAACAGTGATTCCCAAGCAGGTGAGATGTCTGAGGGCATTCATAGGCACAACCTGCTTGAGGCCTGGACATCAGTGACAGTTATGGGTGGGAGATGTACCAGTTTCCAGTGATGAGTTTGCTGTGCCATCCTCTGGCTTCGGGTAGCAATGAAGAACAAAAGTAACCAGGCCCTGCTGCAGGCAGAAGAGTTGTGCCCACGTGGAGGTGGGGATGTTTTGGAACTAAGAACACGTTCCAACTTGCCTTCCTTCTCCTCACCACCATCCCTCCTTCCACCCTCATTTCTCCATTATGTTGGAAAACAGTAGGTTCAGGCATCACAGCATAGAGTTTGCTGAGTTGTAGTATCTCAGGTCAGATTTGACTATAAAAACAGCCAAGAGGCCACATAGACTTCAGTTCGGGGCAGAAATTATTGAGGGTTTTTTACTACTAACAGTGTTCCCTTTGGGCAGTTTCTCTAGGAACTGATGCAGGTTCCTTTGGAAAAGAAATCAAAAGCTTACTAGCTTTGTGGGTGATGGACCTCTTTAGCCACGGAGAGGCAGGGAGAATAAGATAAATCAGGCAGGAAAAACATGCTTGTTCTTAGTGTTGTTGGGGTGGATTATCCTTGCTTCATCATGCCTTCTCCTAGACAACAATTCAAGACCCTACATTATCGCCTAACCTCATCTTGAAGCAATAGAAAATGGTTTATTTTGCTTTCATTGGAATCAATTAACCTTCTAACTTAAAAAACATAAGAGTAGTTAGGGAATTAGAAAAGTTGCACTTCAAAGTGGCAGTGTGATCCGCAACACTAAAATTAGTCTTTAAAACATTTCAAAACTTAAAATGCTAACATTAGAAAACCGGAGTGTTGAAATTACCAACAGAACTGTGTGAACGAAGAACTTGTTTTTGTTTGTAAGTACGAAAACCTAAGATTTAAATTGTTCATCCTTATTTGGGAAAGACAAAAATCAGTGAAACTCCCAAGACTGCAGAATCCATTTCACAACTCTAATCTTAACTAAAAGATCCCACTAATGGATTATTCCTACAGAATAAAGGTGTTTCTTTCACTAAGAGCATAGTCAGTATTTTATCCAACAGGCTTGCACTGCTTCCTTTTTATCCCTCTTCCCAAAAACCAGTTTAATTTCCATGTCTTGTAAATCATTAAAAGCCTTGGAAAAGGCTGAAACAAGGGAAGCCCAAAATCAGAAACTGTACCATCAACTGTGGGCAGTATTAACTCTGAAGGTAAATCAGTGCTTTGCTAACTGACTTCAGCATGAACCAAGTTATACCTGCAGAAATCCCATGTGAGATTACAAAGGAGCACTTTGTAAAAGATGCAGAACGTTGAGGAAGGCTCATGTGGGAGGCATGAATGGTGCTGGTAGAAGGAATATGAACTATCATCAACCCCTAACATCACCTGTAAGTAATGTTACCCACTCTTTCTCTATCCCCATGCTCCTAAAGAGTCCCCATATGTCCCGCATTCCCCACATGTCCCACATTCAAAGGCAAGATGTAGGTACTCACCCTACTACCACAATTATAAAATCTAGTAAATTCCAGCCATTGCGGAGGTAAGCGTTGGGGTGAAAGAGAAGTCCATATGCTATTACTTTTAAAAATGCTTCCACTGTAAAAATTATGAGAAAGAGATATTCCACTCGTTCCTGGAGAGAAGACAAGAAAACAAGAAAAGCAATAGTTAGCATGACTGAAAAACAGTGGAAAAGAAACATTTGCTGCTTACTTACACCTAATGCGTATGATGTGCCAGAAAGCTTTTCTTTTTGCAACTGCATAGCATGGCAGCCAGTTTGATTGGACAGTGGCAGCAAATTTTGGTTAGGGTCTGAAATCTGCTGTCCTTGTCTTTGCAGGGACTGAAGAGCACTCAAGTCTGTGCAAAGGAGGAGGGGAGAAGGTTGGCAGGCCTGTTCTAGCCCTCTGCAGGGCCCATGGTGAAATCCTGTCAGCCTTCAGGGTAAGTTTCATGCAACCCGTTCTCTGGAGAGGAAATGCTGCATTGAGGCATGGAGAAATGAGAGATTTGAGGCTGATACGTGTGGCATATTGTGCCTTCTTTTTCCACTTGTCTTATGGCACTCCCTTTTCCTTTGCTGGAGAATAGGTAGGCTGAACATTGATGGCAAATGATTTAGAGATCAGGCTGACTAATGCAAGAGGCATTTAGTCACTCCATCAGAAGCGTACATGACCCCATGGAGCACAAGCTGCAATTAAGCACATCCAAACAAAGTCACTCCCAGTTACAGTATAGTCTGCTTCAGGACAAGCAAGCAGACATTCAGACGCAGTACACAGACTCTCTGTCTCTCCCGTCCTGGGGGTTTTTAACCCCAGTGAAGAACCAGACTAGCAGTATTGCAGAAACGGCACTTCTATCTAAGTAGGAGGGAAATTGCTCATCACTGCAAAAGTGCTGCAGGGCAAGCTGGGTGGAAAATATGTAGGTGAAAACTATATGCCACCAAAAGGAGATTAGGTCTCTGCAAGGTTAGACTACAAACTCAAGTCACTGGAAGTTTACATTGAAGAAATAAAGATCTGAGTTAAATGTAAGATAAAACAATCTAGAGATTTTAGTTCAGTTGGGTCTTGCATGATACCCAGCTAACAGTCAGATAGGTCATTATTTTTCTTTTCAGCTTCAAACTGTAATGGTCCTGTTTCAACCCCAGGTAATCCACTAGCCACTAGTTGTCAAAAAAAACCACATTAACCAATTCATCTGAACATTGCCATTAACATGTTATTTTATACCCCTGAGAAATTCCATTTGACAGCCATAGGCACATATTTGTGCTTCAAAATACTGCTGTTTTTCCTCAGATAATGTTATCATAATGCTTACAGTATTCCCCTGTGCTTAGTACAGGGAATACTTACAAAAGAGAAAGATTAAGTATTGTTCCTTACTTATCTGATCCACTTTTAAAGCTTTTAAACACATCCACAGTTTTGCCCTTCATCTTTCCTAGCAGCAAGAGAGTCAAGACATTAAAGATTTTCTTCTCCTTGAACATATATTATGTGCATTCTCACATATGACCAGGAATTAGTACATAATTGGTAACAACTAGCAGTCTAGCCATAGGCTTGGCTACTGGAAAAAAAAAAAACTTAGTCTTAGAACGGACTAATCTGGCCTCCCCTCTCTCTGCAGCACCCCTAAAAACTGAACGGGTACTAACTGATATACAAATCATTGTAAAATAAACCCCCCAAATCAACTCTATGTCTATATTTGTAAAGCAAGATGAGCTGGCAGGAGGCCTTTTAAAAGAATTTTTGTGTGACAGGAAGGCTTTACGCAGCGTCCCTCTGCTGCCACGTGCCCATCAGCAAGGCATGGGGTCAGGCTCCAGCCCTGCGCTGCAGGCCGCTGGCCTGCACTGGCTTTGCCCAAGAGGAGATGCCCTGGCTCTGAACAGACGAGGTAAAGCCTCTGTGAAGGCTGGGAGAACACATAAACGGGCTCTGCAGGGGAACAACGAGCTAAGAATTGGGGATAGCAGCAGGGTGTGTTGTGCCTGGGACTGAAATGGCCTTGCTAGGGATGAATGAACAGCTTTTAAGAAGGAAATTAAGTGATTTCTACTGCTGCAACCCCGTCTATCAAGGGGTCTTACTCCCTGTTTCAGCTAACGTTTTTTTGCAGTTGTGAGCAAGTTCTCATTCCCTCCCCCAAGACGGGTGACCAATAGGCCTGAGACCACTCACAACCCTTCGCAATTAATTCCTCTGGCATTCCACTCTATAGAGACACAGGCTGTCTGAGAAGTCCTCCAAAATAGCACTTCACCCCGCCTAGCACTCACAGCTGCCACTTGAGGAGTTTTTGAGAAGCCCACCCTCTTGCTTGGTCCAGTTGGAAGCAGACTGTTGAGAAAGAGGAAGCACTAAAGCTGACCTGGTGCTGGTGCAAGGACAACACTGTCCTTGACTAAGGGGACCTCAGGGTCCTTGTCCCTTGGACAAATGCTGCTGCCAGCCTTGTGCCTAGCTCTGCATTTATCCTGGGGCCACAGAGCTCTGCTGCATAGTTGAGCTAGATGAACCTTTCTACTCCATAGGGTCCATTAGAATATATGTATTATCTGCAATCAGAACGACTAAGAAACCAAATAATCTGGATAATTCTGGAATGAAACACTTTTTTCTTTTTCCTGTTGTTTAATACTGTGCATAGCATCCAGAATTTCAGCAAGGAACAAGTTCCATTTGGTTGGGTTTAAAAGCCACAGACAATTCTGCCTCCTTAACATGCCTGTGGACCTACAGACTCCTGTTTTGTCATGGTAATAAGGCTTTTTGCTGAACCTTGTTACTGAGATAGCCATAAGCCAAAATATTGCATTCATGGACGTGTATACCTATACGTATATGCATGCACATGTACACATATAACTCCAAGCTGCTTGAATAAAGTCTTTGAAATGCTCTGGTAATGTGGAAAGATTCAATAAAAATTAGGTTCTGTAAAAGCCTTGCAAATGACCATAAGATACAGCATGTTGAGCAGAAGAGAGAGGTTTTATGATCCTCCTCACTTAAATTAATGATTTCAGGATCTAAAACTGAAGGAAAAATATTGGTGAGTTTAAACAGAGCAGCTACTTCAAGAGCATTTCAGAAAGCTACTCTTGCTGACAATTGAGAAGGATTAAAAAAAAAAAAAGGCAGTAATTAATCTGCTTTTCTTTTCTTTCCCTTTTTTATAAAACTGAAGAACTTTCTCTGAAGACAGCATAGCCCAGTGCAGAAGGCAAAACAGTCTGGACTGCAGGAATTTAACTTAATTTAATTTATTGCCAATTAACAGAAATCTTTGACTCCTGATTCGGGTACTGAGAAGCATAAACAATTTAACGCGTAGGGAAACACCCTTCCTGCCCTTTCCCAGGCTCAGTTTTGCTTCCAGACTCCTCTCCATCTCCCTCCTTGGTCTCAGCTCCCCAGGTTTTTGCCATGTGTCCCGAGCACAGGCCCTTCGTGGCCTCCCGCGATAGCCCAGGGCACCCTGCCAGCCATGCCCAACGCAGGAGCCTGAAATAAATCCCTCGGATTTATTTGCTTGCCCAGTACTGTGGCAATGTGAGGCTGTGACTATCATCTCTCCCCAGAGGGTCACGCACAGGGACTGAGCAAGAGTATAAGCATTGCCAGAAAGCATTTTAACCAGCGCTGCTTTCTTAGCCTGGAACGATACCCAGCACCTGTTCAGTCAGCTTCAGCCCCACGGTCTAAACTTCGCAGAGCAAAAAGTGCTCAGGAAAAGGTTATTTCTTACTTTTCTTGCTTTTTTTTTTTTTTTTT